ATATTGTGGCAGATTTGGCAGATGATATTTACGCTGCATGTCACTTGTATGATTTATTCGTAAAGGTAACTTGTTAACTCGTTATTCCCACAGTGACGCATTAGCGACGGATTTGCTATCAAGAAGGTAAGTTTGTCAAAAAAAAAAACCCTAAAAAAACGTAACGGATTTAGGCAAGTCTGTTACGAGTACTTTCCTCTTTTTTCCTTTTTTTTGTTAGGGGGAGGGGGAGGGGGAGCACGTAAATGATTGAAATTTAGCGCTCTCAGGATCTGCAGCATCCGAACTTAAACGGGCGACCATAAGATTCTTCATGTGGTAAACGTTTTTTTTTTTTTTTTTTCTGATTTGCCCAATTTAAGACATATTGCACTGAATAAAAGAGGCTTTCAAGAAGTTTAGGTAGCTTAAGCTTCATAAAGTCTTCAAATTCGCTGCTTTGGCAGTAAATGTATTGCTTATATAATTTGCAAAGTTAATTGAATTAATGTAAAATATTTACACAAACTATTACGAACGACGTAATGAAGCTAAGGAACTAATGATTAGACCGAACGTAGCATTCTTCAAATCATTCTGAAAAAGTTCATTCCAAGCCCAAAATTTGAGTTTAAGCAGCATTTGCAGTTCAAAATTTCCAAGGAATTTTTACTTTGTCTGACACTTGTGGCAAATGAATGACATCTGTCTTTGTCAGTTTGACAACCGATAAAGTTAAACTTTACCATTGATTTGCGCATGCTTTTATTTGCACACAAGAAAGGAAAATGTCACTGTACTCGGAGCCAATGAGAATTCATTTTTATCGTCTATTTTTTTTTTAATTCTCATTTTGCCCAATTTTTCTGTAGTTCCGAATTGCGTCGAAGTTGTCATCTCTCGCAACCCCATGGTGCAGGTGGCCTAAAGGAAAGAAAACTAACAAGTATGTAGATTCTTGTCACTTTGTCACAATGTTTGTATAGGATACTTAACAGATTTTTCATTTCCGGTTAACTTTCAGCCTGTTCGGGCGTTCGGTCAAGTGGTTTGTAAGCTTTTGGCAACTTGCTTAAAGTAACAATACCCTAACAAGTACGTAAATTCTTGTCACTTTGTCACAATGTATGTATAAGATACTTTACAGATTTTTCATTTCAGGTTACCTTTCAGCCTTTTCAGGTGTTCAGTCAAGTGGTTTGTTGGTTTTCGGCAACTTGCATGATACGAATGCCAAAATCAGCGGCAGGTGTATTACGCATGATCTACGCAGGACTTCAAACTGATTGATTGGTTCGCGTTCGATTGTCCACTTTCTAGTTTTAGGTTTATAACGATGGATGGACTGAGAGTTTATATCCCAGAAATCAGAGTAGGAAAGGTTTGTTTTTACTACGTTGAATCGGACACGATTTCAAATGAAAATAAATTATCGATGATTATAGCTTACTGATCCTGATCATGTAAATAATTACCACGTCATCATAATTACAGCCGAATCCCGGTAACTCGAACTTTCCTAAACTCCACTCTCGTGCCAGCTCGAACCAAATTCGATTTCCCCCGGATCTCCGTCACATGATTTACTGCAATGTTTCCCTTGGTATTCGAACCCTCGATAACTCGAACCTTCCGCCAACTCAAAGCAATTTTTGTTTCCCCTCGGGTCATTCTCTATATATTTTTGCCCTCAAACATTTATGGTCATCTGGTATCGAGAACTGGTCGCCAGTTGACTATATATTTTGGCAGAAATATTAGATCACTCGGCTCGTGAGTTAAGTAATCGTCTCAGGAAAGGGGAAACTTTGCCGAAAAAAAGAGTTAGCGCGAGGGATTTTGAGTGTTGGCGAAATCACCATTGGCGATTATTCCAATAGTCAGTAACCGAAACGACTAGTTATGATAAAAATATGTTTCTTGGTAGGTTCCACAAGTTCCATAGATTCCGCGCGTCCACAGTCTGCAATTCCAAAAAAAAAACTCGCTTAAAAATACTGCTAGCCTTAAATTCGGAAGATGGACATGGATCAAATATGCTTGAAAGCCTGTTCTTAGTTTTATTTGAGTTGTTTCATTTTAAGTGACCGTTCAATACCAGTGGAAGACGATACAAACAGGCCGTTGGGGTAATCAGTGAAGGGCGACCGTGACCGTGACCGTGACCGCGATAGTGACCGCTAAATATAGGTGACTGCTTAATGAAGGTAAAAATAAAGTGTTTAATAGGAAATAAATTCGGGTCTTTGACAACTGACCGCTTAATATATATATATATATATATTATATTAATATATAAATATATATTAGCTCTTTGGCATACAAAGCTTTGCTTTCATGTCCAAATTGAGCACTCTAACTAGGATGAGTCATTGCTCTGCAATTGCGCATGCTCGCTAGTGTACTCTAGTTTGAGCACTCTGGCATGGCTTAGACGATACCACAAAGGTTGGATCGTTTGGGGTGACCATATTGGTTCTCCTCCATCCTAGCATTAGCACTGCACTGATGAGGCCCAGAAGGCCGAAACAGTACTGTCTGCAGTTAGATATAGCTCTTTGGCATACAAAGCTTTGCTTTCATGTCCAAATTGAGCACTCTAACTAGGATGAGTCATTGCTCTGCAATTGCGCATGCTCGCTAGTGTACTCTAGTTTGAGCACTCTGGCATGGCTTAGACGATACCACAAAGGTTGGATCGTTTGGGGTGACCATATTGGTTCTCCTCCATCCTAGCATTAGCACTGCACTGATGAGGCCCAGAAGGCCGAAACAGTACTGTCTGCAGTTAGATATAGCTCTTTGGCATACAAAGCTTTGCTTTCATGTCCAAATTGAGCACTCTAACTAGGATGAGTCATTGCTCTGCAATTGCGCATGCTCGCTAGTGTACTCTAGTTTGAGCACTCTGGCATGGCTTAGACGATACCACAAAGGTTGGATCGTTTGGGGTGACCATATTGGTTCTCCTCCATCCTAGCATTAGCACTGCACTGATGAGGCCCAGAAGGCCGAAACAGTACTGTCTGCAGTTAGATATAGCTCTTTGGCATACAAAGCTTTGCTTTCATGTCCAAATTGAGCACTCTAACTAGGATGAGTCATTGCTCTGCAATTGCGCATGCTCGCTAGTGTACTCTAGTTTGAGCACTCTGGCATGGCTTAGACGATACCACAAAGGTTGGATCGTTTGGGGTGACCATATTGGTTCTCCTCCATCCTAGCATTAGCACTGCACTGATGAGGCCCAGAAGGCCGAAACAGTACTGTCTGCAGTTAGATATAGCTCTTTGGCATACAAAGCTTTGCTTTCATGTCCAAATTGAGCACTCTAACTAGGATGAGTCATTGCTCTGCAATTGCGCATGCTCGCTAGTGTACTCTAGTTTGAGCACTCTGGCATGGCTTAGACGATACCACAAAGGTTGGATCGTTTGGGGTGACCATATTGGTTCTCCTCCATCCTAGCATTAGCACTGCACTGATGAGGCCCAGAAGGCCGAAACAGTACTGTCTGCAGTTAGATATAGCTCTTTGGCATACAAAGCTTTGCTTTCATGTCCAAATTGAGCACTCTAACTAGGATGAGTCATTGCTCTGCAATTGCGCATGCTCGCTAGTGTACTCTAGTTTGAGCACTCTGGCATGGCTTAGACGATACCACAAAGGTTGGATCGTTTGGGGTGATCATATTGGTTCTCCTCCATCCTAGCATTAGCACTGCACTGATGAGGCCCAGAAGGCCGAAACAGTACTGTCTGCAGTTAGATATAGCTCTTTGGCATACAAAGCTTTGCTTTCATGTCCAAATTGAGCACTCTAACTAGGATGAGTCATTGCTCTGCAATTGCGCATGCTCGCTAGTGTACTCTAGTTTGAGCACTCTGGCATGGCTTAGACGATACCACAAAGGTTGGATCGTTTGGGGTGACCATATTGGTTCTCCTCCATCCTAGCATTAGCACTGCACTGATGAGGCCCAGAAGGCCGAAACAGTACTGTCTGCAGTTAGATATAGCTCTTTGGCATACAAAGCTTTGCTTTCATGTCCAAATTGAGCACTCTAACTAGGATGAGTCATTGCTCTGCAATTGCGCATGCTCGCTAGTGTACTCTAGTTTGAGCACTCTGGCATGGCTTAGACGATACCACAAAGGTTGGATCGTTTGGGGTGACCATATTGGTTCTCCTCCATCCTAGCATTAGCACTGT